ATCGGGAACGTTGGAAGCATTGTCTGACGCGTCTGCCTCCGCGACCCGAAAGGAGAAGCGGCGATGGAAGCTGAAGATGAAGTAGAACTGCATCAAAAATATAAGAAAAGCGAGCGAGCCTAGTTGCCAGAGTTATGATAGCTTCTCGTTCCGCGAGCCTTGATGTATCTTTACAGTTATCTAAAAGGATACGGAGTAAGCGCTCCATCTTTCTTTCATAGTTTAGTAATGTGATACCTGATTTTTTTGTTTTCTTGCGACGTGAAGCGGGTAAACCGAAGCATGATTATGCAGAATTCATTAACTCGCAATATTACCATCTCGAAAAGCTGAAAGAAGAATGTCCTGAACAGGTTTCGAATCTGCATTCTTCCAACTGTGAGTCCTGCGCTCCATCGACGAAATATTCTACGTTTAAGATCGATGTTTGGTTTTTATTGAAGAAGGAATTTATCAGACGGCGTAGTCCAACTTCAATACGACTCAGTAATACGCGGACAAATCAAGAAAACATTTGATGGCGATCATACGAAATCTCTGGTCTCGGTGCTTCTCAACTTTATTTTGGATAAACTGTCATGAATGCGGTTGAAAAGAAAAGATGACAACCTACTGCCTTGATGAAGTCGACGTTCACGGCGAAATCATTCGAACACACCTCTATCACGGTACACTCAGTTCATTCGTAGATATTCACCAATACTTACCTGATACCCTGAGGTATTGCTAAGCATCGCGTGATTATCCAGTCGTTACATATCCGTAGATGATGATGGCAACAACGCCAATGAATATGCAGCGTCAAATTAAGTTGGATGACATTTGTGGTAAAAAGCCGTATATGGTGTACAGCGACAAAGGACAAAGCTCATATAACTTGCTGAGATATGTCATAGTGCAGAAAGCGTACTGTTAATGAAACGTTTTGATTCTGCAAGACTGTACGTAACAAGCGACCTTATCAAAAGGGCGTATGTCTATTAGGCGGGAGCATCTCTTCCCAAAAACATTCTCTTTACCTTGCCCTCATCAAATGAATGTTGTTGTGCGACATGAACATAACTGTTCTAACGAAAGAGCAAAAACGACGGTTGAACTGTGTACCCCCGCATTGGGTTCTACGCACAACGAGTGTTAAATGACAGGACTACGTAAGGAATGACTCTATTCTGTTCCATCCACAAGTGATCTCGCTAGATGTGGAGAATTGCATAAAGGATTAGTTTTGCTAAAAAGACGGGTTGAGCATAAGCCGTTTACTCCAGCCCGTGAACTTCTCGCTTGGAAGTTCAGGTGCGGCAGACATTAACCATTAAGCCAGCATACAATATGGTGGAGGCGGATCTGCTTTCGGAGAGCGATATTTCTTTTTGCTATCAGTAATTAGTACCTTGTAAGAAAGTGCTAAATGCTGCGAATACAGTGGAGATCAAAAAAGGAGACCACATGTTTATGCAGACAGTTGCAGGTGATCATCTCAACAGACAAAACGACTATAAGAAATTAAGGATGAAGTTTAATTAGCTTTCATTCTGAGAAATTAGCTGTTTGGAGATCAGACGAAATGCACAGCTTCTGTCAGGATAAGCCAGCGGATCGGATTTGCTGGCGAAACCGAATTTGCCACTCTGCTTGGGCGTGTAAGGAAAAGAAAGATCGAGAGGGTAAGCGTGTGCCTGTGTCATCCTTCGAACCTTTTATCGTCGACTGTTTCCGCCACTTTTGATCGCCGTCACAAATACTGTGCATGTAAAATCTAATGAATATGAATGCGTGCGTGTCCTAATTGCACTTCTTATGCCGTACGTTCATCAAAGTGCGTCACACCTCGACTGTACCGTAGCTATAAGTCATTCTACGCTCCTGCTGGCGCCGTCGAACCGTGTCGGAGGGGAGGGAAACCATTATTGCGCTTTGCGTAGAAACAGAGAAAACGGCAAAATGCTATTTGCAATTACGTTTTGGTACCAATTCAAGCCTACAGATGAGTCGACCCTCGACACTGTCGATGGTGGAAATACCGCAGTGGTTGCAAAGACTCTTCTTCGACGTCTGCTTCAACGAATTCGGGCAAAATCGACTATCAACGATGCACTGATCACTCGGTCGTGAAAAAATGGTTATATTGAGTAAAACGCCATACGCGACAGCATTCAGCGGACTCTTTAACCGATCCTTATTGGAGCATCGGTGCAGAGAATTCTGATGGCCTGGAAAGTCCCAAGATCTATGATTTCCCAGTGCGCAAGCGACCTACCCTGCTGTCAATCCCGTTATATAGTTTTCCAGGCAAACAACAACATTTACTTAGCATCTGGGCGGTATGAACCACACGTAGAAGAGCGGACTTTGACCACCGATGTTTGTGACATAGGTCACTTTGTCCGCATTTAGCTAGCAATAAACAAGCCAACGGTCAACGGCCTCAAATGAACAATTAATGGCAAGTGTATCGGCTTAAAAACTACTTTGCCTAATAACATACCGCATAAAACAACTAGCGGCTTTGTGCTGCGTTATGGGAAGTACGCCGAACAGGTGGCGAGCCGGATACTGCATAAGTAACGTTGAGGGTCATACAGAGTGACCACTGAGATAAACCGGATTAGCCAGCCGAGTCTCTTCACTCTGACAGAAAAGATCTTGGCGCGCACAATTACGGTCGCGGTTGAAAGTGAGGTACGAGCAGAGGAGAAACGGGCGGACGAACGAACGGATGTCCATACGAACGGACGTACGGGCAAAGAAAACGGCACAGCAGCCGGCAGTCGTCGCAATCGCTCTGTCTACACGCTTGCTTGGCAAACTTTTGCTGCCGGATCACGGTGCTCACGCCCTCTCCAACACCACCACAACAACAGAACAGCGTCAAGGGACGACGGAAAAAGCCGTGAGCAGCGGCGACCAACTGACTGCCGACAGACTGCCGTGCGCATCAAATTTTCGGCTCTCATGCGCGCGCGATTTGCCTCTGCCTTCACTCCTCCTCGTTCACTCCACTCCTCCTCAGCCGTGGCTTAAAACTTGAGTTACTTGAGAGTCACGGTCGGCTCACACTGCTTCTGTGCCTCTTTATTCGACGACCGACACACCGTCCCGTCGTGTCGCGCGTGAACTCTCTCTGCCCGCACGTCGACCGCTGCTGTTTTAACCTCAGTTTCCGCCTTGACCGATCTTCACGCTTTACTTGTACCCTCATTCGTTTGACGTTTCATCCTTTTCTGTGTCCGGTCAGCATGGCTTGGCGAACAGTAGTGCTCATTCTCGTGGTGCTACAGCTTCGAATTCCATCAGCGTCAGGTAAGTCGAACACGCGTTTGTTTTGATGCGCCAGTTTACACTCAGCAATAGCTTGTAGCGAGTGAAATGACGAGGCAGGCAGGTCAATCGATTTAACCGACTGGACCGGAAATGTCTTTTCGCACCCCTGTCCGTTGTTTCATAGCACCAATCTTTAACCATTTGTCATGCACTATGTCATAATGTTTTGTCTTCATCATGTATGAATGCTTGAAACCGTCAGGATTATCTTACACTGCTGACGCTTGAAATACGCCAGAACAAGGCGAAATCAGACTTAATCATGCCTCAGATCAGTTGAAGCTGACAAACCGCAAAGAAAGTGATGGATAGAGAAGGATCAACTTTCACGGGAGACGTTACAGTCTCCCGAGGAGTGGCAATTCCATTCGATGAATTCCTGCATCTGTTTTTGGTCGCATCATTGTTGTTGCTTTCGACTTTATTATCGTTTTAAGGTTGTAACATGTAGTTACTGCGCATGATTTATAATATTTTCGAAGCAAAGTTACTTTCTGACGTCACGTCACTTAACAGCATTGGACAGCTTTAATAAAACTGGAAAATTTTGTCATTCT